TCCGCCCACTCATCCATCCATCCATTCAACTATCATACATCCATGACCCATCCAACTATCATCCACCCACCCATCCATCCATCCATCCATGCACCTATCTGGACACCTATTACCCATCCACTCAACCACCCGTCTGCCATCCATTAATCTACAGCAGTATCCAAAACTCACACAGGATGATAGCTCTGTGTTGTTGTTAAATGCCTCTCATAGTGACCATGTACAGCATTTTTAAGGTTGTAAATTTTTACAGGAACAAGAAACCTCCCCTTTCTCCCAAGAAACAACTGGACACAAAGCATCAACAAGATCTGAAGTCCAGTGCTTATCATACAGACCCACCACATTCCCTACATATTGCTCCATACATTTGATAAATTAATTGAGTCAGATGAAAGATATTTCTCCCTTATAGGTCAAGTACATATGGAGTGAGAACCTAGTGGCTTAGGACCGATGAGCCCTGTGTTCCAGGGGAACATGAGACCGTGAACAGTGACCTATTCCCATTTGCTGTCCCCTCTCTGCTCTGCTTCTTCATGCCCCAGGGTCATGCAGAACCATGGAGATGGAAACCTCTCAGAGCTCTCTTTGCAGGAGTTTGTGCTAGTAGGATTTGAGGGTGGACTGGAGACCCAAGTTCTGCTGTTTGCTGTGTTCCTTGTCCTGTACATGGTGACAGTGCTGGGGAACCTAACTATGATCGTGGTCATCACTCTGGATGCCCGCCTCCACTCCCCCATGTACTTCTTCCTCAAGAACCTCTCCTTCCTAGACCTCTGCTACTCCTCTGTCATCGCCCCTAAGGCCTTGGCCAACTTCTTCTCCTCAACCAAGGTCATCACCTTCGCTGGCTGTGCTACCCAGTTCTTCTTCTTCTCCCTGCTGGTCACCACTGAGGGCTTCCTCCTAGCTGTCATGGCCTATGACCGCTTTATGGCCATCTGCAAACCCCTAAGATACCCAGTCACCATGCGTCCCTCAGCCTGTGCCCGCCTGGTGGTAGGCACCTACTGTGGAGGCTGCCTCAACTCCATCGTGCAGACCAGCCTCACCTTCCGCCTCCCGTTCTGCAGCTCACACCGCATTGATCACTTTTTCTGTGACGTGCCTCCACTGCTGCGGATCGCCTGCACCAACACAGCCCTCAATGAGCTGGTCATGTTTGGCATATGTGGGCTGATCATTGTGGGCACCACTCTCGTGGTTCTCATCTCCTATGGCTACATCACAGTGACCATTCTGAGGATGAGCTCAGGGACTGGAAGACACAAGGTCTTCTCCACCTGTGGCTCCCATATGACTGCTGTGTCCCTGTTCTATGGGACCGTCTTTGTGATGTATGCCCAGCCAGGGGCTGTGGAGTCCATGGAACAGGGCAAGGTGGTGTCTGTCTTCTACACCCTAGTCATCCCCATGCTCAATCCCCTCATCTACAGTCTGCGGAACAAGGACGTGAAGGACGCCCTGAGGAGACTGGGCCGGAAGCACACAGCCACGTGAACGAAGGTGCAAATGGGTAGGCAGAACTTCATCTTTCAAATACTGCCAAGCAGTTTTCAGGGAGGATTTAGAACAATTTTATGCTCCCCAAAGGAGTATGGAAGTTTCAGTCACTTCACATTGTTGAGAAATTAATATTATTGATGATGTTGTTGTTAGCCATTTGGTGAACATCTTACTATGCTTCACCTAAATTTTCTCCTGGTGAACTAAGTTGAGATCTTTTCATTGTATTTAGAGGTCATTTGGGTATTCTGCTTAGAATAATATCAATGGTTTGCACTTTGTTAAACTATCTCTTTCTTACTGATTTGTAGAGCCTCTGTATATGTTCTGGATAGGAGCCATTTGTTAGTGATATGCAGGAATTTTCTTCAAATTTGTATCTTTCACATTCACCCTCTAATGATGTCATTAAATCAACAGAACATCTTACGTTAAATGGAGTAAATGTATTCATTGAATATTCTGTCTCACAAAATATCACAAACTGCTTGCTCTCAATTGTCTGTGTTATTTTTCAGTAGTCTAACTAACCAGTCTTTCTTACTATGAACAACTAACAGACAAATGTAGTTTTGGAGTTGTTGTTGTTATATGCCTTGGAGTCGGTTTCAGCTCACAGTGACCCTGTACAGGGTTTCCAAGGCTGTAAATCTTTGCGGGAGCAGAAAGCCTCTTCTTTCTCCCACGGAACAGCTGGTAGTTTTGGACTGCTGACCTGAAGGTTCACAGCCTGATTCGTAACCACTATGCTACCAGAGCTCCTTATTTTTGGAGTAGGGTCCAGGTTTTTGTGGGGATTTTTTGGCCATATGGATACCTTGTTGTTCTTAAGTGCTGTCAAGTTAGTTCTGACTAATAGTGACCTTGCATAGGGCTTTCAGGGAGCAGCTGGTGGGTATGAACTGCCGACCTTCCGGTACACAGTCCAGTGCTGATCTATTGACCAGTTATTATTGACTGTTTTCTATTAATGGCCACCTTTTTGTGGGTCTATATCAAGTTCATGGAAAGGAAGGATCAGCATTATAAAGACATTAATCATTCACCTTACTTTATAAATTCAATCTGATTTCAATCTACAGAGGATTTTTGTAGAATTGAACAAGCCAATTAATACAATGGGATGCATGATGTCAAAGAGTATCTAAAGAATTTATGAAAAGTAAGTACAAGGAAAAGGACCTTGTCCTGAAAAAAATCAAGACTTCTTTTATACGGTAGCAATCCAAAGTGTAGTATTGTCAAATATCTCATGGTGGTGGTGGTTATGTGCTGAGGAGCTGGTTCTGTCTCATAGCGACACTGTACAAGGTTTCAGAAGATGTAAATCTGTATGGGAGCTAAAAGCCACGTTTTTCTCCCATGGAAAAGCTGTTAGTTTTGATCTGCTGACCTTGAGGTTAGCAGTCCAACTTGTAACCACTACATTATCAGACCTCCTTGTAGAAAATGAAAATCAAGTTGCTGAAAATATATTGGAAATCATTGTTGTTGTTAAATGCCATCGATCGGTTCTGACTCCTAGTGGTCTTGTAATAGAATTTCTGAGGAGTGACTGGTGGGTTTGAACCACTGACTTTTCAGTTAGCAGTCCAGTGCATAACCTACAGAGAAGTTAGGAAATTCCAGTTTTAAGAAATGGCATCTAATTAGGCCACTCGTCAAAAGAAGGGAG